GTCTTGAGTAGCCCAGTGAATATTATCTTAAAGAGATATACAGGGAAAAGAAGAACTTAAATTAGCACTATTTGCTGATGATATGATTATATACCTAGAAGACTGTACCTATAGATTCTGTACCCAAAAAGCTCCACCAGAAAACTTTTAGAACTAGTAAATGCATTCAGCAAAGTAGCAGGATATAAAATCAACACCCATAAATCAAAGCCATTTCTGTATATCAATGACAAATCCTCTGAGAAGGAAATAAGGAAAACTACCCCATTTACAATAACCTCAAAAAAAAAAAAAAAAAGATACTTGGGAATCAATGAAAGAGGTGAAAGATCTATACAATGAAAATTACAGAACCCTAAAGAAAGAAATCAAAGAAGACCTTACAAGATGGAAAGATCTACCTTGTTCTTGGATAGGGAGAATTAATATTATCAAAATGATCGTACTACCAAAAGCACTATATATATTTTAATGCAATTCCGATCAAAATCCCAATGGCATTCCTCATAGAAATAGAAAAAGCAATCATGAAATTCATCTGGAAAAATGAAAGACCTAGAATAGCTAAAGCAATTCTTAGCAGGAAGAGTGAACCAGGTGGCATCACTATACCAGACCTTAAACTATACTACAGATCAATGTAATAAAAACAGCATGGTATTGGCACCAAAACAGACTGGTAGACCAATGGTACAGAATAGAGGACACAGAGACTAACCCACAAAATTACAGTTATCTTATATTAGACAAAGGTACCAAGAACATGCATTGGAGAAAAGATGGCATCTTCTACAAATGGTGCTGGGAAAACTGGAAATCCATATGCAAAAAAATGAAATTAAACTCCTGATTCTTACCATGCACAAAACTCAACTCAAAGTGGATCAAGGACCTAGGAATTAAACCCGAGACTGTGTCTAATAGAAGAAAAAGTAGGCCCTAATCTCCATCATGTGGGATTAGGCCCCAACTGCCTTAAGACTCCTGTGGCACAAGAATTAAAACCAAGAATCAATAAATGGGATGGACTCAAACTAAAAAGTTTCTTCTCAGCAAAAGAAACAATCTGTGAAGTGAACAGAGAGCCTATATCCTGGGAGCAAATTTTTACCCCTTACATATCAGAGCACTAATCTCTAGGGTATATAAAGAACTCAAAAAGCTAAGCACAAAAAAACAGAAACAAACAAACAAAAACCCACCAGATAACCCAATCAACAAATGGGCCAAGGACCTAAACAGACACTTCTCAGAACCTCAGTCAGTCAACAAATATATGAAAAAATGTTCATCAAAAATGCAAATCAAAACTACTCTAAGATATCTCACTCCAGTCAGAATGGCAGCTATTATGAAGACAAACAACAATTAGCATTGGCGAGGATGTGGGGGAAAAGTCACACTCATACATTGCTGGTGGGACTGCAAATTGGTGCAGTCATTATGGAAAGCAGTATGGAGATTCCTTCGAAATCTGGGAATGGAACCACCTTTTGACCCAGCTATCCCTCTCCTCGGTCTATACCCAAAAGACTTAAGAACAGCATACTACAGGGACACAGCCACATCAGTGTTTATAGCAGCACAATTCACAATAGCTAAACTGTGGAGCCAACCTAGATACCCTTCAATAGATGAATAGATAAAAAAAAATGTGGCATATGTATTATACACAATGGAATTTTACTCAGCAAAAAAAGAGAATAAAATCATGGCATTTGCTGGTAAATGGATGGCGCTGGAGAAGATAATGCTAAGTGAAGTTAGTCAATTTCAAAAAAAAAAACAAATGCCAAATGTTTTCTCTGCTATAAGGAGGCTGACTCATAGTGGTATAGGGAGGGGGAGCATGGGAGGAATAGATGAATTCTAGATAGGGCAGAGGGGTGGGAGAGAAGGGGAGGGGGCAGGGGATTAGCAAGGATGATGCAATGAATAGACATCATTATTCAAAGTACATGTATGAAGACACGAATTGGTGTCAACATACTTTATATACAACTAGAGAGATGAAGAATTGTGCTGTGTATATGTAATAAGAATTGTAATGCATTCTGCTGTTGTTTATTTTTTTAAAAATCAATAAAAAATGAGATATACAGGAGGTATAACAGGTTTGGGTATGACAATAATATTGCAAAGTGAAGTGGGTAGGGAGGATTAATTGGCAAGCACAAATTTACTGTCTATTAACAGAATAATTTATAATAAATACATGTGCACATTGTGATCACTAGAGCAAAGAAAAACATCTGAACGTTCGAGAAATAAAGATGATATATTAATTTTTTCATTTAAAACAAAAAGTTGCTTGCTATAAAGAAGGAACAGAGGAACAAACAGGATGAGACAAATAGAAAATACATACCAAAATAAAAAATCCAGTCATAACAATAATTAGGTCATTTGGAAATGGACTGTACATTCCATTCAAAAGGCAGAGATTATAAGATGATATAAAAGTGATCCAACTACATGCTTTTATAGGAAATATACTTTATTTTTAATCACATAAATAAGGGAAAGTAAAATGATGGGTTAAGATATACCATGAAAACAATAAGTATTAGGAAATTGGTTTGGTTATATTACTACCAGACAAGGTTTACCTTTTAGATGATGAATGTTAGCTGGAATAAAAGATGGATATTCTATATTATTAATAGGACCTACTCATCTAAAAAGAGCCCTAGAAGATATGAAACACAACTGGACAATATTGAAAGGAGAAATATAGTAATCAAGTCCAGTTGGAGATTTTAATATTTTTCTTTTTATTATTATTATTATTTTTTAAAATTTTTGAGCAATTGGGCACAGAGGGAGGGAATAAGGGAGGGGAGGAGGAGAGAGGGAGGGAGGGAAGGAGGGAGCAAGCTCAGGGAAGGACCCCAACTGGGCAGTGGGGGAAATGGGAGTGGGACAAGCATGTGCCAATGTAACCAGCTTACAACCCCTTTTAGAAAATAATGAAAAAAGACCATTTACCAACTTATTTTATGTGCTGAGCTCTACCCTGATATCAAAGCCAGACAAGGACATCATAAGAAAACTGCTGACCATTATTTCTCATGAGCATAGAAGCAACAACAAAAATCCTTAACAAAGGATTAGCAAATTGAATCCAGCAATATAAACATAAGGGTTCATATATCTCAACCAAGGAGATTTATTCTAGGAATAAATTGATTTTATATCCAAGCATCAGTATAATATACTGTGTTGATAGAATAAAAGAGGATTAGATGCAGAGAAAGCATTTGACAAAATCCAACATACATACGTTTATTTATTTACTGGTACTGGGGATTGAACCCAGGGGCACTTTACCACTGAACTATGTCCCAGACCTTTTATTTTTTGAGACAGGGTCTTGCTGAGTTGCTTAGAGCCTTGCTAAGGTACTGAGGCTGACTTGAATTTGTGATCCTCCTGTCTCAGCTTCCTGAGTTGCTGGGATTACAGGCGTGTGCCACCATACCCAGCTCCAACATCTGTTTATGATAAGAATGCTGAAAATACTAGAAATAGAAATGGATTTCCTCAACTTGACAAAACATAACTATGCAAAAACAACATTCTTAATGGTGAGACTCTTAAGGTGGAAGGCTTTCTACCTGAAATAACTATCAAGACAAAGATTTGTGCTCTCACCACCTGCATTTAGCATTGTACTGGAGGTTAGTGAAGTAAAGGGCCTATACTGGGAAAGGAAGAAATCTGCATTTCCAGATGATATCTTAAGGTATTCTTGTGATTTCTAATGAGTAAATTTAGAGATATATTATGCCAAGATCCATGCACAACAATCGACCTCATTTCTATAGACTACTAACAGACAAGATGAGATTTATAAAACAGTTTCACATGAGGATAAACAAAATATGTAGGACTAAGTTGAGCAAAAGTTGTGCAAGAGCTAGTCACAGAAAACTGCTAAAAGTTGTTGAAAGTTTGAAGAATACCTGAGTAAATGAGACATACACTATAGCTATAGATTTAAAGGCATAATATTGTTAACATGGAGTTATTCCCAACTTCTTCTAGACTTGATGTAACCTCAGCCAGAAAGCCAACTGACAATTAAAAAAATTTTTTAACAAAAGACTTCATTGCGTAGCGCTATTGTAATCAGAACAGTGTTGTATGGCATTAACGATAGATGAATGTGGATCAAACATTTGTCAATTTCTTTTCATCAAAGGTGCCAAAATTATATGGAAAAATAATAAAATTTTCAAGGAATGGTGCTTAAATGCCAGATGTCCCTTTCCTCACAAAAAATAATCTAAAATGGAAAATAAACCAAATTTAAGGGAAAAGCCAAGAAATTCTAGAACATTGTCTTTTTAAAATATTATTTTATTGATACATTAGAAATGAAGGTACACTGTGAGAAGCTGTAAAGGTATGCACCTTCAGGAAGGTGAAGAAGCAGTGGAAAACACCTCTTCTAAGTTAAAATTGGCTTGCCCTGTAGGGGGCGCAAGGACCACACATACAAAGGTCATCAGTGGTGAGATTATATGACAGCATCTACCATCTGGAATTTATGTACAAATAGGAAGTTTAAAATATAGATTTAAGTGAACATTGACTACTCTTGACCTCTTAGCCAGGGAGTACAGATGAGAAGCCATAGGTACCTAAAATTTATACAAACACACAGGTTTATAAAAATAAGCCAAGGCTCTCAGGCAGTGTTGAAATTTACTCTTGGGAAGAAATCCCAATGTTTGGGAACATTCTTTCTCCTGCTGGATAGTTTTCTTTGAGAGAAGCATATATATTTTTTTCCCTTCAGTATTAGTTTTATTCAGTTTTGATTTGTCAGACTTATTCACTTTGGACATGTCTTGTTTATCAACGATCTTAACTAGAAGAAAGACTGAAGGCTTAAAGCCTAGTTTAAGGTTGTCTTTGGGTTGATGTTGCACTCACTTTGAACCAGGTTCAAGAAATTCTAGAACATTTTCTAGGAGAATACAGAACACAGAATACAGAATACAAAATGCTTCACAAATTTGCCTGTTATCCTTGATCAAGGGCCATGCTAATCTTTTTCTGTATTCCAGTTTTAATATATGTGCCATGAAAGTAAACATTCTTTATTTTTTAAACTCTGTTCTTTCCTACTTAATTACCATACATTATCACTATAATATTAAACTCAAAATTATGAAGTCATTTATTCATTTCTCTGGCAAATGTTTGTCACATTTATACCTCACTAATTAACTCTCTGCATCTACATGGGGATATCAAATAGGTGGTTGGAAATCATGAGTGATGTTGTAGCTGGAGATGTAAATTTGCAATTAGGAATGACTAACTGGTATTTAAAGCCAGATGTCTGGATGAGATCACGTAGGTAGGTGTGCAAGGATAAAATAATAGGTCAGGTTACTGAGCCCAGAGATAGTAATGTTGGAAGAAGTCAGCTAAATGAAGGTGGCTAAGTTGATAAAAAGCAATGGGCCAGCTATGTGTGTTTGAGGAGAAATCAAGGTGTTATAGAAAGAGGAAAGATATTCTGTGACCTGCTGTTGATAGGTCAAGTCATATGAACACTGAGAAATGGCTAATGGATTTGCCCAGGTGAAAGTCATTGGTGACTTTCACAATATTATTCTTGGTGGAATGCTGGGAAGGATAACCTGATAGAATACGCATAAAAGGAAATGGAGGAAAAGTCATGAACAACTTTTATGAGACCTTAATGCACTTAAGAAGAGTATTAGATAGTAACTGGAAAGCAATATAAAGTCATAGGAGGCTAGTTTATTTTGTATGGAAATGGGAAATTTTCTTTTTTTTCACATTTTTAATTGGTTCTTTATAGTTATATAGATTGATGGGATTTGTTGTTAAATATTTGTATGTGTACACAATATAATATAATTTAAAACGTGTAGAAAATGTGAAATATTTGAAGGGTAAGAAATATAGTGAGCAATGTGCCACTAATGACACACTACTTCCTAATGCTGGACATGGTAACTTGGGAGGCTGAGGCAAGAGGACAGCAAGTTCAAGGCCAACCCTAGCAACTAGGTAATACACTGTCTTAAAATAAAATTTGAAAAGGGGTAGGGATGTAGCTCAGTGGTAGAGTGCCGCTGGGTTCAATCCCCAGTACTGCAATTTTAAAAAGAGAGAAGGAGAGGGACAAAACTTCCATGGTGCCTCAAGCCAAATGTTCCCTTCATGAGCCAATGTGAGAATCTGATTACATGAAGAGCAAACATACCTTCACCATACATTACTCCCAAGTATTATCTGAGAAGTTGTTCAGTATGGTTCAAGAGCACTTTAGCATGAAGAAAAGCAACTACCCACAAGGAGTTTACAATCTAATTGAGAGATAAGGGACACAGAGATGGAACAAATACTGAAAAGATATTCATTACATTCTGATGTAACTGAGTACTAAACAGTATGACATAGTTTAACAATAAACAGTAAGATGTTAATAGTGGTATACAAAAAAGAAACACCTCGTTAAACTATGTCTATTTAAACTTCTTCATATTTAACATACACCTATGCTTTTAAAGTTATGTTTTCATAGGAACCAGGCTTGTACTTAGTACAAGAACTCAAGAATCATTCAGTGATACTTAAATATACCCACAACACTGCCTTCCTTCCTGTCACTTCAAATGAATTCTCTATGCTTCTACTAACTGCCACCTCTCGTCATTTGTGCAACGAATTCCACTTTCACTCACCTATAAGAAGACACTGTTTCTCTTTCTACACTGTTCATTTTCCCTGCTTTCCTGGATAATCCCTCTTAGTTTACAAACTTACCATAAAATTTCCTGCTTCAGGAGAAAATCTTTGCTAGCACTTTTGTGACAAAAGATTAATATCTAGAATGTATAAAGAGCTCAAAAAGCTTTAAACCAAGAAGTCAAATAACCCAATTCATAATGGGTAAATGAATTAAGCAGATCCTTCTCAAGAAAAAAATATAAATGGCCAATAAATACATGAAAAAATGTTCAACAACATTAGCAATTAGGGAACTGCAAATCAAAACTACACTGAGATTTCATTTCACAACCGTCAAAATAGCAGTCATCAAGAACACAAATAATAATAAAGGCTGGAAAAGATGTAGAGAAAAAGAAACACTTTTATGCATATATTAGTATTTCAGTATACTGAAATATAAATGCATTTTTTGTGTTAACTCTGAGTTAAAATGATAATGACTAAATCATAGTGGTTATATAGTTTATTTTTTAAATCTTCTGTATAATTTGAACATTCTCAGTTTTTACCTTGATTTTGTTCTTTTCTTTAGTAAGTGACATTATAACCTGAGAAGGAAGTTGCAGGCTTCATCCACACACAGTGGGAGGAAATCACTCAAGAGCATGAGCACAGGAAATTGTGACCACAAGGGCCACTCTAAAGTCTGTCTGCCACAATTTATTTACTGTATCTTCACATGGAATATATGGTTATCACATTCAGTAATTTTTGCTATGGTTTTAGATGTAGTGATAATTTGGGTTTTTTTATTTTTTTAACCAGATTCCATTGGCCGTGACATCCCTAAAATGCTTGAATTATTTAAAACTGGACATGAAATTCACGTAGATGAAGAAAGGGAGAACTTTCTCAGTACCAAAATAGCCACAGTAAGTTATGGTGGAAATTCATTAAATAATACTTTTTTGTTTAATTTATTAATAATTTATTAATATTGTAATATACCAGTCATTTGCACTTGCTTTTGAAACTAATATTAAGCATATATGTTGTATACAACCAGAGATATGAAAAATTGTGCTCTATATGTGTAATATGAATTGTAATGCATTCTGCTGTCATATATAACAAATTAGAATAAAAAATTTAAAAAAGAATGACATTAAATATACACATGGAATTTTTTTTTAATTTAGTAGATTGAATTCATATTCTTTATTTGAGGACTTCTTCCATCCAGAGTTACTGGGTATTCACTAGAATTTGCTTATATTTTGCCTTGTCTATCTATTCTAAGTATGTATTTTTGTTCCCTAATAATTTAAGCATATTGAGAGTTGGGTTTAGATCTTGTGTGTATTCTATAGAACATTATATAATGCTGAGAACATAGTGGGTATTTAATTCTACATAATGGAATTGAATAATTTGCTTATCTTAATAATTTATGTGTAGTTATTTCTTTTCTTTTCTTTTGTACCAGTGATTGAACTCAGATATACTCAACCACTGAGCCACATCCCCAGTCATATTTTGTAGTTTATTTAGAGACAGGGTCTCACTGAGTTGGCTAAGCTCCTTGCTGTTGCTGAGGCTGGCTTTGAATCCTCCTGCTTTAGCCTCTCAAGCTGCTGGGATTACAGGCATGTGCCAGTGCGCCCAGCTCTTCTGGTTATTTCTGTTTGTTTTCAAAGTTGTTTGCCTACTTATAGAAGATACTAGAAATCAATTTCCAACGTCATTTTTAGGACACTAATATTGACCTGTCAGAATTATAGAATGATGTTTTCAATATACAGACGTTAGAAACAAGTTATTTGCAAATACAAATAATCTCTAAATAACATGTAATTTTTTTCTGTCCATAATTATAGGAATAATATAATACTGATAGCATAATTTTAAAAAGTGCTTATCAAGTGTCAGGTGCTATTCTAAACACATTTTGTGTATTCTCTCTTTTAATTCTTAAGTATGTGAGAGGTAAAATTATCATCCTTATTTTATAGATCAAAACTTAGAAGCCGATAGAGTCTGAAACTTTTCCAAGGTTTCACTGCTAAAATGAGGCAGAATAGGTAGGATCTGGACCTTGACAATATTCTTAAGCATCCAGGTTTTTTTTTTTTTTTCCCTATTCTACCTTGTTTTGTGACTAGAATAACTTGAATTGCTGCTATTCTTTCTCTTTTTCCTTCCATTTGACTCTTAAGAGGAATTCTGCATCATACACAATAGCTAGTGATCCAAGTGAATTGAGCTGTGTCCACCTGAAGATATTCAGAAATAAAGAAAAAGCACTCAGCTAGTTTCATGGTAGGAAAACTTCCCTTAGAAAGGAAATAAAGTAGGCTTACTGCAGTCAAAGGTTGAGAAGTGTCTACTTGCCACATTATCATCAAAGCTCAGATCCAATTTACTTGGCCTGAGCTCTGCTGGAATCTGATGTTGAAATTTCTTTGTTTCCAAAGGCCCTTGGCAGTGCCTCTTTTTTTTCTTAGAGTTGAAAATATTGGAATCTGACAAACAAACAAACACACACGATATTTAAGGAGCCTTTTTTGAGCTGTAGATACCTGAGTTTGAATATCTGCCATGCTATTTAAGGAATATTAAGCAAGTTTCTTAATGTTGCTTTTCAAATTTTCTCATCTGTAGAATATCTATGATAATTCATATTTCACAATGTGGTTAAACATCAGATAAAACTGTAAAAGGGTAGTACCTTTGTAGTACTATTGTAATAGTTTGGGTTGGTGTTTTGGGACTATAGAATATCCTTATAAGATCCTTTCTCAAGTAATAGTTCAGTATATTCAGTAGTATAGTTTATATAGGTCCTGACTTAAAGTGTAAGAAACCATGGCATTTTATACTTTTTTTTTTTTTTTTTTTTTATTAAATACTATAGAGAGTAAGACATGGGCTCCAGATCAGAGTACTTGGATCTTTTGGAGACTAAATGTTTTTTTCTCAATAAAAAAGAAATTAATCTACATGTTTAAAGAGAATCTTCTTGAGTACAAGTTTCGTATTATAGTATAGTAGGAGATTAAGAGAGTAGATTTTAGATTCATGCTGTCATGATTAAAGTCCTAGTTCCAGTTTAGAAAGAACTATGCCTCCTTGCTGTCAGTCTTGATTATTTTCCTCTTTTCTGCCATATGTAATGTGATAGTAATGACAAATACTACCTAGGCTAGGAATGATTAGATGAAGTAATAACATAATAACTATGTAGCACACTTACTTCTTCTGGCTAAGATGTGTTACAGGGACCTGATTTACCTATGTGCCCAAAACAATGAGCATTATCTTGATACCAAAACCAAGGAAAACTACAGTGCAATATCATTCATGAATATAGATGTAAACATTTAAAACTGAGTTTAATAAATAAAATCCGGTGATATATAAAAAGTATAATTTATCATGGCTGCCTTAGAATGTTTTCTATTGCTGTTGTAGAATATCTGAGACTGAGCCAGAATTACAGTCACAGACCTGTAATCCCAGTGGCTCAGGGGGCTGGGGCAGAAGGATAGCAAGTTCAAGGCCAACCAGACAGTTTAATGAGATTCTGTGTCAAAGATTAAAAGGGCTGGGGATGTAACCCAGTGGTAAATTGCCCCTGGGTTCAATTCCCAGCACCCCGACACACACATAAAAGAATACCTGAGACTAGATGATTTATATTAAATAGAGGTTTACGTTGGCTCATGATTCTGGAGGCTGGAGAGTTCAAGAACATGGTGCCAGCATCTGGTGAGGGCCTCATGCTACACCACAGCATGGCAGAAAAGTGAAAGGACAACAGACATGTGTTGAAGAGGCAAGAACACTAGGAGTTGACTTGCTTTGTAACATCTTGCTCTCTGGAGAATGAATCCATTTCAATGAGAAAGGCATTAATCCCTCTTAATGACTTCATTACCCCTTACAGGCCCCACCTCCCAACACTGTCACAATGACAGTCAAATTCCAACTTGAGTTTTGGAGAGGACATATCATATTCAAATCATAGCAGTAATCAAGTACCGTTCACTGTAGGAATACAAGGTTGGTTTATCATTCGATAATCATTATAATTCATTTTACTAACAAATTATAAAACCAAAGCCATGTGATCATTTCAGTAGACACAGAGCTAGCATTTGACAGAATCCAAATGCTGATTAAGTAATCTCAGCAAACCAAGGATAGAAGTTAGTGTCCTTTGGGTTAGATCTACTGCTCAGTGGTAGTACATGTGCTTAACCTGTATGAAACCCTGTGTTCAGTCCCTAGCACAACGCCCCCCTCCCTCCTCCCCACCCCGCACCACCACCAAAGTCAAGTGTCCTTAACCTCATAAAGGACATCTAAGAAAAACCAATAACTGGCATTATATTTATTGGTGAAAGACTAAATGCTGCTTTCTTCCTAAATTTAGAAACAAGATTAGGATATGTGTTCTTAATGCTTCTGTTCAACGTTATATGGGATTTTAGGCAGAGTAAGAAACAGGCAGAGACATCTAGAATAGAGGAAGAGGTGAAACTGCCATTATTTATAGAGTGTATGATTTAGCTAAAAGTACAAAGAAATGAGTTAAGTATAGTTGAAGTATATAAGCTCCATGTATAAAAATCATTTGCATTTCTGTACAGCAGTAACAATTAGAAACAAAAAACAGTGAATGTCATTTATAATACTATAAAAATATGAAAACTTGAGGATAAATATGACAAAAGATGTGAAAGATGAATGCACTGTAAACTTCAAATATAGTAGAAAGAAATTAAAGATACCAATAAAAGGTAAGATGTACTTTGTTTATGAATCAGTAGATTGAATGTTAGTAAAATATTAGTTATCCCCAAGGGAGTCAATAGATTCATTAAATTCTCAAATTCCCATTCAAAACTTATTTTCAAAAAAATAGAAATTGATTCTAAAGCTTATATGGAAATGTGAAGGATCTAAGATAGCCAAAGCAACTTTGAAAAATAATGAAGTTGGAGATATATATGATTTATAAAGGTACAGCAGTTAAGACAATGTGGTATTGATGTTAAGAGAAAAAACAGTCAATTGAATAGATGACCCCTCCCCCCAAAAAGACAAAAAAAATATGGATAACTGATTATCAACAAGGTATAAAGGCATTTTTAGTGAAAAAAACACATAAAGCAGTCTTCAACAAAATGTACCAGAACAGTTGGATATCTATATATAATAGAATGAACTTTGAACCACATTTCAAATCCTGTATAATAATTAACTCAAAATATATCAAAAATCTAAATATAAAGCCTCAAATAACAATACTTCTAAAAGAAAAAAATTGGGTTTGGGAATTATTTCTTAGATGTGACACCAAAAATATCCATAGAAGAAATTGGTAAGTTGCCCTTTCATAAAAATTAAAAATCTGATCTTTAAAAGATAGCATTATGAAAATGAAGACAAATTAAAGACTGGCAGAATATATCTGATGAATCCAGAATATATTTAAAAAACTTATCAAACCCATTAAAGAGACCCAATTTTTAAAAATTTGGCAAAAGATGTGAACACACTTCACCAAGGAGCTACAACACAAACATATGAAAAGATGCTCAACATCTTTTTTATTATTATTATTTTTTAGTTGTAGATGGACACAGTACCTTTATTTTATTCATTTATTTTTCTGTAGTGCTGAGGATTGAACCCAGTGCCTACACATGCTAGGCAGGTGCTCTACCACTGAGCCACAACCCCAGCACTGATGCTCAACATCTTTAGTCACTAGGAAAACATAGATTAATACCATAAAGAACTGTCAGTACACATATACTAGAATGAATAAAATTTTAAAAACTGACCATGTTGTTTAAGATGTGGAGGGACTAGATCACTCAGATACTGCGGGAATGTTAAATGATGCAATCTCTTTGGTGAATTA